GCTTTGAGTATTATTCATATATAAGTACTCATACTCAGATACTTATGATTACTTTGTTAACCTACTCAATCTAAAGTACTCTGAGAACTTTAACGCAGTACTCTGCCCAGCTCTGAATGCAGCAAACAAATACTTGACCATGACTAAACAGAATTTGCGCCTGATCTCAAGCATTCTAAGTGGTCATCGTCCAGTACTATGGAGGGTAGAGGAAAGGAGAACAATCTCTGTATACAAAAAGTGTCCCTCAAAATGTATACAATTAATGCTGCGTTTGAAAATTACCTCATTTTGCTCTTTTTACTCGAAGTCGTTCTTTTAATACATCTGCGGCTTCTCGATGAGATCTGCTACGTGGTCTTTTAATACAGAGCTGGTAAATCGAGTAAGATCTATTTACTCAGAGTTAAATTTTAGAGCTTTCGGAGTAAATGGAATTTCTATGACAATTGACAAAGTAGATGTACTTTTCTGAGATGTATAGACATCGTTCGTTGTTTCTTGTATTGCAGTTTATTCTTTTTCATATGTGTTTGGTTATTAAAAAAAATATTTATAAAACATGTCAGACAGAAATGAGAACATGGTTTATTTTCTAGTGAAAGCAAAAAAGCGAAAAATACCACAGATAAAAATTTACTTTACTTGGCAACTTGCAACAAAAACCATGAGACGAGAGATCAAATTTGATTTAAAAGAAAGGTTTACGTTTGTTATTTTAATGAAAACCGGATACGGGAAACACAAACAAATCCATAGCCGTTCTTTTATTCCACATAAGCTCGATTTGCTCGATGATCACGTGACTAAAAAATCTACTAGCTCTACTCCGCTCCGTGAGGTACTTTTCAAACGTAGCATAAGATGGCGCTTCTGTGCCCAGGGGACGTCGACAGTCGATAATTCAGATCACACAATGACATCAGGCTAGGGGATCTTTAATAGGGAAATGCTTACTCGTGTTGTAGTACTGTGCACCACCCATAGATGGCGCTACTTTACACAAAGTTTGCTCGTTGCATTCGAGTGTATTCAGAGCAGGTTCAGAGTAACGCAAGTGTACGCAAGTTGTTATTTAATGTTAATGGCACATACTTTGATTTTCTTTTACTATACGGAGAATGGTCGCACTGCGCAGCTTTCTGAGTGCCTTTTAAAAGGAGATAGAAAACTCCGCCATTTTGAACCCTTATTACGTGTTGCTTACATCTTGGCGCAATATTTTTAATAGGTGCGTTTTAATCATCCGCTTCTGCTTCGGAATTTTAACAGCATATATTATTACTTAAAAGTACCCAATTTGTGAAATAAATGTCCAAAATAATGCGGGTAACCTAATGTTTTCTTGGAAAAATTAAAAATCTTAACCTAACTTTTATCATTTTCTATACAATTTCAGTAACTAGATAAAATATGTGAATATTAAGAAGATTGAAATAAATAGTGTTATTAGTATTTTTTTAGAATTATACAATATGTAATGGATACTTTATATTAGATACCTATATACAATATTTTTTCCGAATTCAAAATGAGGTACTTTTCAAACATACCAATAATTGTATATTTTATATTGTGCGACTCTTATTATTTTTTGCTCCATATACTGTGACCTACCTCACCTAGAGGTATCCTCACAATTTATTGATTCCAATTAATAAAAGTTGCATTCTTACTAAATTCAAATTCCTTCATTTTATTGAAAAATCTTCTACGATATATTTTTAAGAAATGCCGATTCATTCTCACTAGCTAATAAATTAATAGCTCAGCTGAATTGACTCAAAACAAAAATAATAAAATTGAACTTTATATTTTTTAACTGATACTCTTCTTCATTTTTTACATGAAAACGAATCAGCAAACACTGCAATAGGAAGTGACAAGTACACCCAATAGCAGCCAGAGCCAACTTTCCCCAGGAACTTTCGTTACAACTTCTAGTGGATACAACCATGGGTGAACTTCGTAATAGTTTTATATTCATATTTCTTTATTATTGTGTACTGTAATAAGAATTCGTGCAATTTTAATTCTAATAATAAAAAATATATGGTTATAATCGTGTTTTACTTCATAATAAGATGTATTTTTTGTTCCACAAATCCAAAATTATAATTTTTCGTTTTCTTTTTAACTTAAAATATTTCAAATTTTATCTATCACAGAACATAACCCAATGGATTATATCCATCTAAGTATGTTGAGTGAAGAATAAAATGTTTGAATCATTTTAAGTAAAAAAGAACGAAAAATTATAATTTTGAAAACTTAGTAGTGGTTTATTAGAAAGGCCGAGTTTGAAAAACCCGCGCTCATTGACCCCTACCGCCATCTATATAATAAATCTTGAACAAATTTTCAATTATTAGTTATCTTCTTTTTTTTTAACTCAACTATTTGCAACCGCTACGGATGGCGCTGAAAGATGAGTAAAATTTTTCACTGTTGAGTGGCCCATCTTTAAAGGGTATGGTCTGTGAATGACATCAATGATGTATATAATAATAAATATTGCTCAACCATAAAAAACTAAAAACTACACCGTGAAAAGTGACTGATCGTAGAAGAGTAAGTGTTCTGTGATCGTAGATAAATTTTGACAATACACGACAATAGTCAAATTTTATTGAAAAATAATAATATAAACAATAAATAATTCTTATATTAAAATGGCACGGAGGTCTCAATTTACTGCTTCCTGTCTGATTTAATTATGAATGAGCAATCTATATGACTATATAGCATTGGATTTTGTCCCCTGGCTACACGAGCACCATCTTTATTGTATACATTTTGGTGGCCACTTTTTAATATAAAGATCCATATAAGATTGTCCTCCTTTTCTCTACCCTCCATATCCAGTATCCAGTACGTAAGCACCTTCATATAGCTAGCATGGGGCTGTCAGACTTCACACTTTCTAGAGGATGCGAAGGAGATGAGACTATCGAGCATATCCTTTATACAATTTCGGACGCTTTCATCTAATAGGACATATTTGTGTTAGTAACACCGGACATTGGGGTCTATTCTGTAACACATCCGTTAAAATTTAGAGGCCTTTAAAAATTTAACTTTTAGCTGCCCTTTAATTTGTTTAACCAAAAATGGTATTCTGTATACACAAATTTTAGAGGCATGATTAAAATTATTTATTTTAACGGATTGCCTCAAAAATGACAGAAGAACACTTGACAACATCGCATTTAAGACTTATTTGAACCAATTTTGAAAGATTCGAAGAACAAATTTAAAAACATAACCATACAAACCGTCAATTTTCAATTCAAAATCAAAACATAGCAACATACCACCCAGTACATTTAAAATAAAAAATGTCTTGCGCACCAAGAACTACAAATTACCAAAAACCTTTGATGATAAACTTTGTAGAACAGCCAAATTTGCTTCACGGTGGGAAAATAAACCCAACAACGAAATTGGCTCTATAATATTAATAACTAGTTCTGGCTATATTTTTAAAGCAGAAAAATATTTTTTAAATCTACATTTGGTAACTGAAATAGATCGCTCAAGTCCCTAACTGACCTTTGATGTAATCGAAATTCAGTTCTGAATTATTAAATGTAATAAATGTACCTACATTGTAAATGTTTTGTACTTTATAATCCCTTTTTCACTTTCCAGTAACTCTGCAATCAAAATTGCTCCAATTAGGTCATAAAACGCAATTATCAGTTCCGTTAAACATTAACGGTAAATTTTAACATTCATTTAAAAATAATTGTTAAGGGGTCTATTCTGTAACAATTCCTTTATATTTAACAGCCTTTAAAAATATTTTCTTCTTTACTTCTGTCATTATTTAAACGGATCGTGAACGGATCTCTAAAATACATTAGAGGACTCTATCTTAAAGAAATCTGTTTAAATAATAACAGATGTAAATTAACGAATACAAATATACTTTTAAAGGCCGCCAATATTCTTAAAGGCCGTTAAATATAAAGGAATTGTTACAGAATAGACCCCATATTAGAGGACTATTTTAAAGGAATCCGTTTAAATAATAACAGAAGTAAGTTAGTGAATACGAAAATATTTTTAGAGGCCTCCAATATTTTAACGGCCGTTAAAATATAAAGGAATTGTTATAGAATAGACCCCAGTATAAGATACACCTCTTGGTCACATTGTTATAGCTACATTAATTGGCTAAAGGCTGGCTCATAGAAAAGGCTGGCTGGAGGGCTAAAATTAAGAGACCTCACCACAATATAAAACTAGTGAGCCCTAAAGTACTGTGGGGCAACCCACCCGCTCCATATATTTAATATAATAAATAATCCTTCCGTCCTTCCACAGTATCTATAAATAATAGGTATTAGGTCATGGTGTAAGAATATTTTCCCACCATGGTATTAGGTATTTATTGTCCCGCTTTGTTGTCCCGGCCCCGAACAAGAATGTCGAAATACTAATGGTATGGTGCACCTCTATTTACCCTATAATAATTTAATTTTTCTTTATAAGATATTCTTCCCTTTAATTAAAATTCGTGATAATTTTTTGTTCAGGTAGAATATCAATAGAACGAAAACATTTTGAAAACGCAAATACCTATCTCGAAACTATCAAAAATCTAATTTTAAATAAAACCATCTACTTTTTTTATATAGATAGGTAATTAAGACAGTAAATAAAATTGTTTTATATTCCACATAAATTATAAAAAACGCAAAAAGTCAGAAGCCGCTGAAAGGTCATGTAAGGTTAACATTTTGTTGACGTTTATTTCCTCTAGGCATTTTTAATTTGTTCGTTACCGGATTTTTTCCCACATTTTTTGACAATCCGAAAAGCAATTTAATTAGGTACATTTTTATTTATAAATTAATCGTTCATATTCAACATTTAACTCCCTACCTAATATCATTGATGGCTTTTATGCACAATATTTGTTTTAAAAAATAAGTTTGTTCGTTTTCGTACAAACATTAGTATCGAAAAATAGATTTCCAAATCCAGATACGTTTCTAAAAGAAAAAGTTTTATATACATTATATTTATTTTTAAATACATTACTTTATTGCAATGTATTAGAACATATGAGTACATAAGGATTGTTTATCCGCTTTGAGCATTATTTGTGAGCTGTCAAAAATAGGACAACCTACAAATGAACAACTCTACAATAACCGAGATCGAGAATGAACGAGTGGTTAGGTTGTTAGGTTGGTTATATGCGCTATGTCAAACGAAAGTCCCTTTAGTAGTCGGTTTTAAATAATTTCTAATTATAACTTTGTCATTTGATTTTAGTAATTTCAAGAGTAAAATTGTAAAATTATATCTTTAATTGTCATTATCTATGGAGCAGAGATCAAAGCGCGCAAATAATTGTTAAAATACATTCGTGTAAATTCGATTTGATTGAAGCGACCTTAACCTCACTTTTATTCAGACGGCTGGACGCGTGTTTCAAAAATTTCGCAAATAACAGCAAAAACGTTTCGTACAGACGTATTTTCGTATCAACATGAGTTTATATTGTTGGGTAAGTACATTTTTATTAAGATATCGCAAAATAATGCAAAAAAATATTGTTCTGCTAGGGTGCTAACAGTTATGGTCAGCTAGGATTGGGACATAGATCTGATGAGGAAATAACACCAAAGGAAATTCCCTTGAAAAACTGTGATATAAGAGTCGAAGATATTGTGTCCATAGCTGGAGGAGCTGGACACACTCTTATACTAGACAACAAAGGATGTGTTTATTGCTGTGGTTGGAATTCAAAAGGTCAGCTAGCTTTATCAGATGATACCCTAAAGTTTACCCAAATAGAGATCTTAAAAGAATTCAAAGTAGTCCAGATATCTTGTGGCTGGGATTTTAGTGCTGCTGTGACTGAATGTGGTAAACAATTTGTATGGGGGAACAATGGAAATACTCAACTTGGCTTGTCTAAAAGCATAACTTGCACTGGAATTCCATCAAGACTGCAAGTTTCACAAAAATTGGCCACGGGTTTCAGACATGTAAGTTGTGGGCTGCGGCACACTGCAATTATAACAAAGGATGGGGGGCTCCTAGTCGCAGGTACTGGTGCCAAAGGCCAATTAGGGTTAGGTGACAATTTTGATGATAACAACTATCTAAGTATAACCAGAGTTCCAGATCTTAGTGATGTCATCAGTGTGGCTAGTGGACAACACCATACAATAGTTCTTAAAGACAATGGTACTGTACTTAGCTGGGGAGAGAACAAATTTGGGCAACTAGGAGTCGATTCGAATGTAGCCAATAGTTTTGTACCATTGGAAGTTTTCAACAATGAAGGTTTGAAGACTGTATTTGCTGGTTGGACCCACAGTGCTGGCCTCACCACCAATGGGGAAGTCTTCACATGGGGCAGGAATTCTTATGGCCAGTTGGGAGCGGAGAGAGATGTGCCCCACAAGATTGAAAAGATTCCTACCTTAAGTAACATTAGTCAATTGAGTGTTGGTTCAGAACACAACTTGGCTGTCACTGGTGATGGGAAATTGTATGTTTGGGGTTGGAATGAGCACGGTAGTTGTGGTACTGGTGATAAAAAGGACGTTAAAATACCCACTCAAATACTAGCTAATAAGAAAGTAAAGTCTGCTTTTGCTTGTACTGGTAGTTCTTTTGCTGTTATTGAATAGTAATTAAACAATCTTTGGGTAATTTCATGTGAAATCAATCAGACAAGGTTTGAAAATTGATGCTGTGAGTTTGGTTGTTTTTGTAAATATTAGTTCCTTATCATTATTTGAAACTGGTAGATTCTTTTTAATTTGTTTTGATAATTTCTGAATTTCACAATTAACAAAATTGATCAAAAGTATTATTCTTTGGTCAATAATGCATTCCTCAATTTCAGTAACATTAAAATTTAAAAAGAGAATTTTCTGATTTCCTAACCATAGTAAATTTTTTTAGAAATAAATCAAAGTTCTTTGGTAATATTCGGTCATTTAGTTATTAAAAAAAAAAATGTTTGGAAAATTAGTTTCCATCTTCGGCTGCAGTCATAATAAAATTAAAAAAAAAGAAACATTAAGGGATTTTACTAATCAGGGTTAGACTAAAACACGACTGTATAAGAAAATCTGACTTTTTGAATCAAGACTAAGAATATTTACGCACTAAAACAAAATCAAAATGATTTTTTTTATTTTCAAAAATTTCTAGACATTACAACAAAACATGCAAGTTTTGGAAAACAAACTAAAACGATTAACTAAATTCATAGGCAACTTATTACTTATTAAGAATATATTAGTTAGTTTTCCGGCTTATTCCACTTCTATTTAGTTGCGATTGTATTATGTCTCTTTAGGAACGTTCTCTCAAACTTTTTGCCACATGCTTTGCATATTGTTTTTTTTATTTGCAAATTGTTTATTGAACTCTTTAATAATAATAATAATCATTTATTCTCAATGCATTCACACCCAATTACAGACAGAGAATATACTTACAATTTTACAATATACACATAAATAAAAGAAAAATTTTAAATAATAAACTAAAGCTAATGAAAAGACAAGAAAAAAACTATAAATGGAACAGATAGAAACAGGTGCCCAAGAAAAGTAAATAAAATGTCAAATAAATCAAAGACTAATAGGTACCTCAAACAAAAGCAACGATTCCTTATAACAATTAATTATTGATTTCATCTCATCGAAATATATATCACATAGGTGCTCAATACCATTAAATAATTGGCTCATGTTGTAAATTGGTGATTTAATTAGCACATTGGTTCTTGGTATAGCACAATGAAATGTGCGAGAGTTCGGGGTACCAAGAGCATTAGTTGATTTAACAAACACCTACAATCTATTTTGTTGTTTAATAAAATGTATAAAAACATCAAAGCTGTGCAGTTTCTTCTCTCCGCTAGGGGTTCCAAATTGAATGTTTGTAATATAGCTGTATAATCAAAACCCCTAGGAGGATAGAAGCCACTGCACTCTTCAAAATATTTCTAAATATTTTGGTCCCGTCATATTTTACATTTTAATAAAATAACTTTGACAAAATTTAAAATAAAATTTAAAGCTCTATCGGTCACGAAAATAGTAAAAAATCACAATAACCCTAAATACTCTACATCTAAATAGTTATGCCAGTATTCTCTAAATCCTCTCATCGATTTAGCTCTTTCATTTTAAAATTAATATTGACTACCAGAAGATGGAAAAATTGTAATTTTCGAAAAAACTGGGCTTATTAAATTAAAACTTGTTTATGATCGATTCAACCAAAGAACTCTTATTATATATCTATTAACTTTGTCTAAGTTTTGCATCTGATGTTTGCATAATATTAGCTATAAATCTTGAGTTTTAATAATTTATGGTAATTTTAAAAATTGTAGTAATTATATGTATATTTTTGTGAGATATGGAGACAAATATTTTCACAATGACCTAAAATTCATGACACCAAAGATTGATGCATTAGTTGGTTTGATGTGGAATAATCACCCTTTTCTCATTATGGATCCTTCATGTTCATAAGTATTTTTTTTATAAAGAGTTGATTACTATTGATTGTATTTCTGTATTTTTATAATAAAATGTGTTGCTTTATATTGATTACTTTTTCTTCTGTTGGTAACAATGCTCTTAGGATTTGTTTGTATTGATTGTTTGTTGACATTGGCTTTGTCAGAAGTTTTGTAAAATCTCAATAATGTTGAATCAGTTTCGTTCAAGAAATAATTGGTAAATATTTTTTTATACACTTATTTTATTGTTGTAAATAATTGACAAAAATTAATCCATTGTAATACAAATAATATTCTACAAATTTTATAACACAAAATTTTACAAATGCCCGTTTAGCACAAAGTCTATTTTGAAATGAGTAATTGTACTGGTCATTTTTAAAAGAAATTCTTTATTAAAGGTCTATTTTACAATTTTTGAGTTTTTTTTGTGTCTACTTTTTTAGTGAAACGCAGGCTAAGTTCATACAGGGCCGTATCCATTCAGTTGAAAGAAATTTAGCCGAGTTCTGCAGCATTTTTGCTCAATATTCCCGTAAAGTGGCTCGTGTTAGAGACAAAGGGGACGAATTAGCTAGGGTTACTTTAAGTATAGCCGAAAATGAGAATATTAACAAATCTTTAGCTGTAGGATTGGAAAATTTTGCCAATTGTATCTCACAAATAAGTGATTATGGGGATATGAGAGTTCAAACTATAGATTGCAAGGTAGTGGGGGAATTTACAAGATATGAAGATATTTGCAAACAAGTTAAAGATGAGGTGAAGGATATTTATAATACCAGGGATAAAGAAATTGCTAAAAAGAGACATTTGGATAGATTAAGAGAGAGAAATCCTAGAAACAGGCATCAGATTGTAAGTATATATACAAAATAATAATTATACTAATTTATGAAATTACTTGACTACAAATGTTTACCGTTGATGAGATATGTTGGAATAAAAAAGCATTTATTAAAAAAAAATTATACCAAAAAGTTAATGACCATTTTTGTAGTAGGCAGTGGCATAGTCAGAAATTTTTCAAGGAGGGGGTCGATATCAACAAAGTCAAATATTTTAGATCCAATTGTTTTTATTAAAAAAAGCTGTGACGGAACATGGAGGGGGTTCTATCTCCCAAAACTCACTGTGACTACGCCACTAGCAGTAGGGTACACAGTTACGATATAATCGCTGCCTTAGTTCAAAAAGGAAATAAACTAAATATGTATCAAAAATCAGATATTTCTACAAAATTATTAAAAATATTGAATAAGGTCCAGTTCAAAAGAGAACAACCCAACTTTTACCTACAAAGGGCGGTCACTATACTATAATAATAGTTACAGGGTCACTTTGCCATCGTACAGTTAAAGTAGGGTTGTCAGATTTAGAAAAGGGAAAAGCGGGACAACGGTATTTTTATATAATCATGTCCTTTTCCGTGGAGATCTAAAAAAGGCCCTTTGCTTATCTATCTATATAAAAGCGAAATACCACTCACTGACTCATCACCAGAACTCCAAAACTATAAGCTCGATTGACTTAAGATTTGGCAGTTACTCCTTTCTCGATGTAGAGACCCACTTAGAACTGATTTTATAAACATCACATTTCATGGGGGGTAAACGGGGGGGGGAGAAAGTTTGATGGGAGTATTGAATTTTTTAAAGGTAAGAAGTTGAAAATTGGAAATGCAGCTACTCATCATAAATAAATGATGACATAATGTAAGGTTTTGGATTTTTAAGTTTTAAGGGGGGAAATAGGGAGTATAAATTTTTTTTAAAGGTAGGAACTTGAAAATTGGAATTGTAGCTACCCATCATAAATAAATAATTATGTATTTCAGGGTTTTTTGGATATTTACATTTTAAGAGGGGAAATTGGGGATGAAAGTGTGTCGTGGGGTATCGAATGTTTTAAGGGTAGGAATATGAAAATTTGAATTGTAGCTACTGATCATAAATTAATAATGACATAATGCAAGGTTTTGTATTTTTACATTTTAAGGGGGAGAAATGGGAAGTGAACATTTGTATTGGAGTACAGATTTTTTAAAGGTAGGATCTTAAAAATTGAAATTGTAGTTACTCATTATAAATAAATAATGACGTATTTCAGGCTTTTTAAATATTTACATTTTAAGGGGGGAGAATTGGGGTGAAATTTTATAGGGAGTATCGATTTTTTAAAGTGGGAACTTAAAAATTGAAATTATAGTTACTGATCGTAAATAAATAATGTCTTATTTCAGTGTTTTTGGATTTTTACATTTTAAGGAGGGGAAATTGGGGGTGAAAGTTTGTAGAGGAGTATCGATTTTTTTTAAAGGTAAGAACTTGAAAATTTCAATTGTAGCTACTCATCATAAATACAAGGTGTCTGTAAAAGGTCTTTACAAAAACATACCACATATTCCTTAGACCAAAATAAGTCGATTTAAGTAAAATTACCTTAGTACAAAGTTGCTTCGTTTGGGCTCCAGAGGGCCTTGAAGTTACAATTTTTAAATCGTTTTTCCCATATAAATTGAAAACGGCATATGCGATTTTGCTGAAATTTGGTATATTGGTAGAGTTTTATGTGGCAAAAAAATGGTATTAAAATTTTGTCCGATAATAATACATTGATTTTTTAAATAATTGCACCTTTAAAAATTCTACGCCAATGGAAGAAAAGGAGTTTGAGTATAATGACGTATTTCAGGAATGTTGGATTTTTACATTTTAAAGGGGGAACCTGGGGGAAGGTAAAATTTGTTAGGCATGAGAATATCGATTTTTTTAAAGGTAGGAACTTGGAAATTGGAATTTTAGCTGCTTATTATCATAAATAATGAAGTATTTCAGTATTTTTATATTTTCACATTTTAAATACGAATAAATACAAATAAATACAAATAAATACAAATAAATACAAATAAATACAAATAAACACAAATAAATACAAACGAATTCAATCGAACACGAACGAATAAAAACAAATAGAAACCAAATAAATACAAACAAATACAAATAAATACAAACAAATACGAATAAATACGAATAAATACGAACAATAAAGACGAATAAATACGAATTGAGACGAATAAATATGAATAGAGACGAATAAAGACGAATAGAGACGAATAAATACGAATAAATAAGAATAAAGACGAATAAATACGAATAAATATGAATAAATACGAATAAAGACGCATAGACGAATAAATATGAATGAATACGAATAAATACAAATGAATAGTACAAATAATTATAAACAAATAAGTTAAACTTCTACGAAAATCGATATTTCTGAATGTCCTGACAGCCTAAGAGTGGAATGCTTTTCTCAACAGTATTTTGTGACCTGTTAGAGAGTCAGTTCCGCATGAAATCTGGTGATATTAGTAGATGAGAGCCATACCAGAAATGTGGTATAAAAAGATATTCTCAATTAGATTACTGTACTTAATTCTAATCTAATACTATATCACATACATATCATAAACCCTAAAAAACATTATCCCTCCTTTTTTTGGGAAGTCATGCATTTTTTTATATTAAAAATACGACTCTACCCGTGTGAAGCCGAGATCAACAGCTATTTTTTATAAAAGCGAAATATCACTCACTGACTCATCACGAGATCTCCAAAACTATAGGCTCGATTGACTTCAAATTTGGCATAGTTACACCTTTCTTGACGTAGACACCCACTAAGAAAGCATTTTATAATTTTATATAAATCACATTTAAGTGGGGGGATACTGTGTGCGATAAAGTCTGTATGGGAGCATCGAATTTTTTAAAGATAGAAACTTAAAAAAATATGTATAGGACAAAAATTATAGAGAAAAACTACTTTTATTTGAAGAATTTTCTTCTTCAAGCGTAAATAAACATAAAAACGACCCCCTATAAAGTACCACTAGGTGTTCTCCCAGACAATACACCAAATCCCAGAGATATCCACAGAATATCTTTTGTGGATATCCAATATATCCACAGGATATCAGAAATATTCCGTGGATCTAATATGGATATCCAAATGTCCGTCTATATCCAGAATATAGAAGATATCCTATGGATATCCAGCAAAATATCTAATGGGTATCTTCCAGACAATACAAGAAGTCCCAGAGATATCCACAGAATATATTTTGTGGATATCCAATATGGATATCCAACCAAATGTCCGTCTATATCCAAGGATATAGAAGATATTCGGATATTCAGCAAAATATTTTATATTAGTAGAGGTTCATAAGTAACCAATGATTATTGAATAACGTCGAAAGAAAATAGCAGAGATAAAAAATATTTTTAACATTCTGCCTTTGATTTTGCCCACTGAGGAGAAAGTCATCCTTATTAGGACTCTTCAGCAATAAATGGAAATTCTCGACTCCAGTCTCTAATGGAGTCTGATTGCGCCTAGACTTTGATATATTTAGTGGATGTCCATGGGATATTGAATAGACCCTAAAAAAATTAATTTTAAATATCTGAACGGTACTATTAGCCACAATGGCGTAATTTTTTAATAATTTGCTATATAATTACTATTATTTATGGACATTTGCATGTCTATAAATTACATCTCATGGATATAAAATAGATATCCACCATGGACTGGACACTCAGTGGATATTGGGATGTTCAGTAGATATCCAAAGGATTTGGTGTGCTGTCTGGGCTAACTAGACCCTAAATTTAATCTGTTCACCGCAGGATGAATTAAAGCTTATATATAAAAGTTTGTGTTTTTCTCTTTATCCGTTTTTGAATTATCTTCAAAATTTGCACTTTTTCAAATATCTCTATTACGATCTATTTTAGAGAAATTATGTATAGGACAAGAATTATAGAGAATGATACCTCAAACAACTTTTATTTGAACAATTTTCTTAAGACCAATTTCGGAAAATTATGCATAGAACAACTTTTATTTGAAGAATTTTCTTCTACAAGCGTAAATAACATATATCCCATAAAGTAGAAAAACGACCCCTATAAAGTACCCCCCAGATGTTCCGACTAAGCACGCACGTACGCACTGACAGACATCATCGCGAAAATAGTCAAAAAGTGAAAATCCGTCAAAAAATCAAAGTCGAAAAAATCATGATTCCTATACTTTCCATCTGTATACAGACTCAACGCGTCCATCAGCTAGTTCATCATTATAAAATAGATGATAAATGTATATTGATGATTTCTTACTGTAGGTAATCATTAAAAAAATTGGTAGATAGAGAAAAGGGTGTTACTGGATTATTCATTCTTCAACATTTGTAATTTGTTGATAAAAAACAAGTGCGTAGGTATAATGTTAAATAAACAGGATTAGGCAGTTTGAAGTAGATTTATTCTGTTTTGTTTATCTTAACGCTAGGTACATTCTTGATATATTTTTAGCAAATTTTATTTTGGAAGCAATTAAAAAGGTTATTGTAATAAATTTAATTGACGTTTGAAGAACACGTAATAAAAAGTATTCCTTTAAATCCTAACAAATTAATATGCTATTTTCAAAGAGTGTGTCCCTTAAAAATTATTAAAATTTATATAAATCTGTGTGGAGATAAAACTATAGATATGTCAGATTTTGTAAATTATGATAAATCAGATTATTGACAAATTAAGTCATAGGTAATCTCTGGTAGAAAATACTATCAAAAAATATCTTAGTTCTTGAATAGTTTTTCATATATCAAATTACATGGTGATTCAACATAAGTAGGTATACCTATTTTTTTTTTAATAATAGATTCAGGCCGAGACGGAACTGGTAAAAGCTACAGCTGAGGTGTCAAAATCTATTCACAGCCTTGAAGAAAAAACTAACAATTTCGAAAAACAAAAATTGCACGACGTAAAATCTATATTACTAGATTTTATTGCGATAGAATTAGGATTTCATTCCAAATGTTTAGAAATTTTAACAAAAGCATATGGTGACGTCCAATCCGTAAATGAAGAAGCAGATTTAGAGGTTTGTAATGTAATAAATAATAAAACTAATAATTTACTAAAAAAAAAAATATATAGATGTTTGTAGTAATATTATAATAACAAATTAACTAAAAAATAATTAATTTTTATGCAAAATAAAGTAACAATTCGGTTGCTATTTTACAATTCAAATTTTGTAGACTACTTAAGTTATATTTAGATAAGACTAGAAAAAAAAAACATTTTCTATAAGAAGGTGCTAAGAGAAAAAATTTCATTAATAAATTTCTAACAAGTAATATACTTTATGCATAATTATTGGAAACATTTAATAAACCTCACTTTCGCACGAAGACGAAGTTTGAGCACGATATGGACAGTCCACAGTTGTACAGTATATTTTTTCTACGACTCACTAACGCAAATCTACAAATTTTCCAAAATATTTTAGGTTATTAAGACAAAATTAGCAATTTTATTCTAATCTATCTTATCAAAGGAGGAAAAACTGCATAAACTAATATTCTACTCACTGGTATACCGTAGAGCAGCTGTACTCAATCTTTTTTCTTTCGGCTTTCGGGCCACATAAATATGTTTGTTATGCTACACGGGCCGCAATATTTTTGGGTGGTAACTAGAGTTGCCACCTTTTTAAAATGTAAATAAAGAACAATGGGTGACGATAGGGACCCGGTTTAAATATTTTCTAAAAAAAAGGGTCCTGTTGTTTTTGTTACTTTAATAAGCAAGGACAATTTGTTTCAAAAAAGAACTGTAGGTCAACCATTTAAAATTAGTTGGGATCTCTAATACATAAAACACAAAACAAATGCAAAACATAACATAAATGCAAAACATAAATGCAAAATATAAATGCAAAACATTAATGGAAAACATAAATGCAAAACAAATATAAATGCAAAACAAACATGTTTTCGCGCATTTCGCTCAAAATTTAAAAACAAAAAGCAACAGTTTTAAAAAGCATCTTGCTAATAATAGTGTTTTAGTGTTTGGGGCTGCACAAAAAAGCTTGGAGTGCCGCATGCGGCCCGTGGGCCGCAGTTTGAGTATGGCTGCCTTGGAGTCTAATTATTTAGTTACATTACCGTTAAACGTATAACACTTCACCGCACTATACTCTGCTTTAACATCACTGAACTAACTCAAAAGGCTTGCTTCTCTTGAGTCTTCTTATTAGATTGGCAGTGTTGAGAAGCTGGATAATCTCAAGGTTTTCATGTTGGAGCAGTCCTTGTTGGTGGTGACTACTGGCAAATTTTTGTATTGTATTTTCAACAGTCTCCACTTTAAGGCCCCTATGAAGATAAGTATTGTGGCAGTATAGTTCGTTGCAAATTATAAGATTTGGAAAACCCCAGATGTTTTACCCGCGCCTATAACTGTAGTTATTGACAGTGGTCCGAATTTTAATAAACAATTGTGACCCTTAGGTATTAAATAAGTGAGTAGTGAATAAGTGTCACAATTAAATGTTCTTGTCTGTATATTTATTTATGTATTTAGTACACCACTCAATAGTTAAAAACCAATTACAGAGTGGGATGAACATAAATTAAAAACAAATACAATATACTAATGATATACATTACAAACGAGTTAAGAACATCAGATATGACTGAACATGAAACAAATAAGAAGTACACGAAGTCTATTTTTAAGGAAAACTAAAGGTAAAATATTCAGTAATATTTAAGTTTTTAAAGGAGCATTTAAAAATTAAATTAAAATAAAATAAATACACACAAAAGATATATTATCAACTTACCAAGCAGGATAAACACCTACTCAGTTTCTACGGTAATAGCTCTAAAAATATCTATTTTCTTACAACTAAAAATATCCAAACTGTCTTGAAGGCGATGATAATTATTTATCATTTGAAAAATTGGAGAACCGTTCAAAATATTTGTATTTGCAGCTGGCAAGTAAAAGCTTAAGTATATTCTAAGGCCAGGGCGGGGTACTTTAATGTTGATATAATCCTGAAACTCAATGCAGTTTAGCCATTCATGTAAAATATCCCATAGGAATGAAACTAGCTGCATTTTACGGCGTATGTGCAGTTCCATTAAACCAAAGCGCGACAACAGTTGATCATGAGGAAATCCTCTAGCAGGATAGATATTGTCTAGAAGATATGATGCGGACTTCATAAATTTTCTTTGCACATTTTCAATAGCGCTACTATAAATGTTAGGTGACGCATACTCAAATCTAGATCTAACAAAACTAATATATAACTTCATTGTATGTATATTTTTAAATTGTTTGGAATTTCGAATTACAAAACCAAGACTCCGTGAAGCACACATAACTGACTGCTCAATATGCCTTGCGAAAGTTAATTCCCTGTCAAAATGGACTCCCAGATCCTTTATAAACTCCGGCCTACTTAACACAGTGCCATTGATCTGATAACCAAAGGTGAAATATGATTTTTTCCTAGTATGTCATAACACTAAATTTACCAGGATTCAAATGCAAATAATTTTTAGTACACCATAGCAATAATTCAGCTAAACAACTTTGTAAAGCTGTGCAATCAACAAAGTTACGTATTTCAGCAAAAATTTTTAAATCATCAACATACATTAAGTATTTTACTTCTGTGCTTTTGCCAATAATGTCATCAATAAAAACTATGAAAAGAAGGGGCCCAAGGACCGAACCCTGCGGTACACCTAAACTTTGCTTAAAGTGATTTGATCTAAATCCCTGGTGTTGCACGTACTGACGTCTATTTTCTAAGTAAGAATCGATAAGTAAAAGAAGAAGATCAGATAATCCCTTAGACTTTAATTTTTATAATAGGATTTGATAATCAATTCTATCGAATGCCTTAGAAAAGTCGGTATAGATAATATCGACCTGACTTCTTCTGTCTAAAACCTCTGCCAAAAATTGTGTTTTGCACACAAGATTCGACACAGTGGACCTACCCTTCATAAATCCGTGTTGGTATTGCGATAATGAACTGGAAAGATGTCTAGATAAGTATGTATGAATAATGATTTCAAATACTTTGGAGAAATTACAGTATGCTAACAGGTCTATAGTTGTCAAGATCATCTTTGGTTCCCTTTTTATAAACTAGTGTAACGCGAGATAATTTCCATAGATCAGAAAACATGGCTGTTTTCAATATTAAATTAAAAATAGTTCACAGTGGGGTTGAAAGAATGTGTACGCAATCTTTAATGAAGAAGGAAGGAATATAATCAGGTCCCATTGTCATTTTTGGCTTTAATCTTTTTATAGCGTCTACCACTTCTTTATCAGATAAATGATTTATAGATAAAATAGGTAAATTAACAGAAGTTGATTGAACAGATGCGATAGTACGTATTGGTAATGTAAAATTGTTTGAAAAATGCTCTGCAAATGCCTGCACAATATCTAATGGATACATCATTATCAATTTGTATTGAAGATGGAAAGCTTGAGGAGTTCTTAAAAGAGTTTACATAATGTCCAAAATTTCTGAGAGTTTTCTTGAATATTATTTTCCATTCTTTCAGCATATTGAGAATGTGCAAGCTTAACTTGTCTATTAACATTAGTACGTGCGGATTTGAATGTATTTAAAGCCTTAAGAGAACCTGTAGACTTAAACCGACAATGGGGTCTATTCTGTAAAAATTCCTTTATATTTAACGGCCTTTAAAAATATTCTTGGCCTTTAAACATATGTTCGTATTCGTTAATTTACTTCTGTCATTATTTAAACAGATTTCTTTAAGATAGTCCTCTAATATATTTTAAAGACCCGTTTAAATAATGACAGAAGTAAAGAAGAAAATATTTTTAGCCCAGGTACATGCGTAGTAAGGTCGGAGTAAGCACGATATACCCACCTAAGAGTAAGAGAGCAAAATATATGGGAACACTCCCATGGGAGCGCTCCCATGACTTAGTGAATAGCTACCCTGGCGAGCGACCGCGTTCAAATCCTTGCGGGGGCAGAATTTTTTTGTTTGTTTTTTAGTTTTTTTTTTGTTTCGAAAAATATTAAAATAGAATAAATACAATTATTGTTGATTATTTTTTTAAATACATTTTAATTATTATAATAACCTGGTTTTACATTTTTTGATGAAATTATTTTGTGGTCGTAGGAAAAATATTGTATATCACTTGTGTGAAAAGTGATTTTCCACACTCGTGTGATAGTCGTACTCGGCTTGTACCTCGTGCGACAATATTTCCCACTCGTATGAAAAATGTCACTTTCCACATTCGTAATGTAATATACTATTTAAGGCTCGTCATCTTCCAATAAATTCGTCAATTATAAATTACTTTCTGTTATAGAGAGGCGCATATACGCGGGGAAGGGGGGAGAATTTTTAAACCTTACTTTATATAGATACTAAAATGTATTATTATCAGAAATAAAGTCTTAAATAATACCACTACCCCTCAGACTTAAATTCTGGATACGCTACTGATAAAAGTCGAATTAAAATTATAATTAGGATAGCAAGTATGTCACCTTTTTTACAATTTATAATTCGTTCTGTACTATTAAAATACTGCAGGCCAGATTTCTTTTATGTTCCATGTATTTTAATTTCAGCTAATTTATAATGATTAATAATGATGTTTTATTTTGAAAATATCTTTGAAATGTATATTTTTCTACATTGCCGGTCTAAACGTATTATTTTGAATACCTTCTTGTTTGCTTTTGTTTAGATAAAATATAAAACGTAAGACGTGGAAAAACATTTGAGATAAAATTGAGATCAAAGATCAATAAGATTTTAGTACCATAATAAATACATACAGGGTATCCTTTAGTCATCTGAAATGTGAAACTAATAAGGGACGCAACTTTTCTTCGTCAAGAAGTCAATAAAGAACTTTTTGAGCATTTAATATCTTAAGTATCACTTAAACTTTACAAGTATTAAAAGAAATTTTAAAAAATCGACTTAAAAATCGTGCATATGCCATCACCACATCTTAATTAAATTTTTATGGGACTACCCCTGAGGTACCCCCTTCCTAACA